TGTGTTAGCTGTAACTTAAAGTTTCACGCATCGGAGCGATCATCAGACAGCAGCATTCACTATCGAATGCTCTGCGAGCAGGCCTAGATATTTAATGCTAGTGTGGAAGTTAGTGCATACATGTATGTGCGAAGTGAAGACGTGTCATTGAGACAGTACAGGGGTTACTGGGGGGTGTACCCAGTGTGCTGACAGTGCTCAACACCTCGGAGGCAGAGCGTTAGAACAACAAAACAACAAGGACAATCAAGGCTTGTTTGCTGCTACATGTACTTCAAGTTTCATGCTCTCGCAATCATCGGGCAACATTAGGATGGGATGCCGACCCAGGGGTTATGTACTCTTGTTCCTACTCAGCGTATCCACTATACACCGTCATCATGATGCTGGACTTTACCGTTGAACAGAAGAGAACATTGGACACCGGTGCAACATCTTAAATTAGTGTTCACCAAAACACCAACAACAGCAGCAACAACATTCCAATTTTTCTGCGCTTGTCCCTTCTTCCCTCCCTGTATACTGCTGATCATAACAATCATAACAAGTCACCGGTACATCTGTCCGCTGTACCCGGTGACTTGTCACCCAGGTGCTACAGTACTCATTGACAACGCACATACCGATAGGCTCTTTCCGTTTGGACTGAATTCTTCATGTCAAATATTCATGAAATAAAATGTCAAATCAAATTAGTTCCTAGTCAGTTAGTCATGGAATGTTGTCGTGGATTTCTCCGTGGTTCAACGCGAAAAGTAGATCACGATGATAGAGCAACATCACTACGACACAATAGAGTAGAGGAAGCACAAGTGACCGGAGAGGAAGACCCTTAGCCTGCTCCTAGGTCTTGTGTCTGCTCCACCTGAACCTAACGAACAAAGAAATGAGTGTATACCTCAACTGCAGTCAATTACCCTCTTCAAGTGTGTGAACTATAAATAGACTACTTTGTGCAAGTTCTGGCAGAAGTGCTGCTTGATTGCGCCTCTTAGCAAACGCTGAGAAGTCCGACAAAATCCTCGATGTCTTTTACGCGCCAAATATGGCCTTCTGCTGACCATATACGGTCTCGCTGGGCGCTCATTGGTCAGATGTGCGAACGGAGTTCTGAGGTTTGTGTTTAAATCGGTCCAGTGGTTATCCTGTTGTCTTTAAGTGCTGCACTTGATCAACTTGTGTTGTAACCACTGCATCAGGTACATGTGAACGACTGTCCTAACAAACATACTCCGTACTGCCCTGGTCCGTGTAAAGCCTCTTGCCACTTACACACAGGCATTGTTCCTGGACCAAGCCCGTGCCGTACAATTGTATATAATTGTTGTTGTTGTGGTATTAACTGATTCAGCAGTGTGTTTACAGTTCATATAGCTGGCCAGTAATTTACTCTGTCCAAGCCGTTCAATAGCACATATACGGCCACAGTATTGTAGCTAAAGCTACATGTACATACTAAGCGCATACTTTGGGCAGCCTGGCCTGGCCATAATCACCACGAACTACCCCAGACTTGCATGATGATGTGTTTCATATAGTGTAGATGTAATAGCAAGATTTTGTACACAGGATACACGTGGTCATAGTTCGATATGGATTTGCTTGACACAAGCGCCCTCGGAAAACGGAGCGAATTTAGCCCAAAGACAGATTCCTGTCCGCCATCCCCGGCCCCTAGCAGAAGACAATCAAGCCTACACTACAGCATCAAGTCTTCATCGAGCTGGGATCTGGAGGGCCAAGATACAATGGACATTCCTGGACGTCATGACTACCGGTGCTAATTATGTGCTTTCTATCCTATCCAAGGAGTCGGAACTATTACTTACTCCCTAACCATACTAATATATTGTACACATATATTCCTTGATCCAGTGGCATTGATCGAGAGGAGTACATGCAGTGCATGTACTGACAATATGTATGCACTGCGTGTACATGTACATGTATAAAAAGCAACAGCATACAGTATCAAGTCACTATCAGTATGCATAATAACATGAAGGGACGCCCTATTGATGTGTGTTGGGCTGTTGCTGCTGCCGCCGCCGCCGCCGTCGTCGTCGTCGTCGTCGTTGTACTTTTTTTATTTTTTTATACTATTGAACACTCACTGCATGATGAACTAAAATGCACTGTTATGTATAAATAGTTTGGGACTGTTGCCTGATGATTGCGAGAGCATGAAACTTGAAGTCGCAGCAAACAAGCCTTGACTGTCCTTGTTGTTCTGTTCTGTAGTTTCGGGCCATACATAAACGTGCGGAAGTGCATCATGTTCGTAATCCAGCTCCAGCTCCTAACAGTGTTGCCATTGAGTGACAACCGTGACATACCGTATTCTATTAGTTACACTTGGGTGGAGAGGCAAGGATTAATTTTTAAGAGGAAAAGAGGACCAAAGAGCTACATGTACAAGTTACGCTAGAATATCCACTAACATCACCAGTTACTTAATTAACAATCAGCTCATGCGATAACATTGCCCGACACTGACCAGCGGTACTGACGTTCCACATCTAACTGGCAATCAGCTCTAGCACATCTTGGATGCGCATTCCAACAACCTTCCAGCTTGGAAGGTTCTAAGTTTAAATATAGAAATAACATAAGAAGGGGAAGGTGAGCGCAACCAAGACAAGCACGAGCTGAAAGTCTCAACTGTGAAGGACGTTGGCGGATGCACGTCATGTACATGTATGTCGAGGACGATACTGGCAAGACCATCAGACAAACAGTCAAACCACAATTCAAGGACGCATAGCAACATACCACACAACGTGTGTGGTTCTAAAGATTCGAAGATCGATTGGAGGGGAAGCTAAGCGAACCGAACGCCTCAGTGCTACAGTACAGTACTTCGACCAAGACAATTTGGATGGAAAATAAGCAGTAGTAACAAGCAGCAGTTTCCCACGACGATCGTTTCACCGTATACTAGTAGGTAAGGACATACATGTACATCCGCCAACGTCCTTCTCAGCTGAGACTTTCGGCTCGTGCTTGTTTTGGTTGCGCTCACCTTCCCCTCCTCATGTTATTTCTATAACTTAGAACATTCCAAGTACATAATTGGAAGGCTGTTGGAGTGCGCATCCTAGATGTGCTAGAGCTGCTAGCCAGTTAGTTGTAGAACGTCAGTACCGTTGATCAGTGTCGTGCAACATTATCGCATAAGCTGATTGTAAAGTAACTGGTGGTGTTAACGTTAGTGGCCATATAGCGTAACTTGTAGCTCTTTGGTCCTCTTTTCGTCTTATTTTATTAGTCAATGGTTATAACTTATAACATGAGA